GTCTTATAGCATTCGTTGATGTCCTCGGACCACCAGCGCTTCAGGTAATCTCCTTTTTTATCTTTGATTATGAAGCTGGCTTATTCTATGCTATCCTCGAATATTGTCATTTTGGCGGGGTTATAGATGTATTGAGGCTTCAACTGGTTGATCAATTCCGCTGCTTTGTCCTTGTTGACCCGTTTCATTTTTCCTAGTGCCACCGGAATCTCACTTGCGATTTCGATGACTATCGATAGATGGTTGCTTCCGAATTCTTGTGGGACCACTTCCCAAGAAGCCTTGGTTGCTAGACCGGCGGTTGCCAAAGAGAGGTCGATCGCTGTGCTGCTTCTGTTGACCGTGGACATACATGTTGTCGTACCGTCGTTCAGGAGGATAAACTTGGAGGGCTCCAAGTTTATATCCAGAGGGAACGTATACGGAAACCAGTGTGAGCGGAAAAAACCCCTTGCTTATTTTGACCCCTACAACTTTGACCGGTAGAAGGTCCTCGAACTGTACCGTTTTGTAGTCCAGAGTCTCGTGCACTAGAATTCCGACTCCCCCGTATCCTTGATTTCGCCTGGCAGATTCCAGTCTAAAGTGAGCCAATCTAAAATTTTCTTCCTTCCTGAGCCAAATTTCCTGCAACAGTGCCACGCCCACCGAGTTTTCCGAAAGGAACTGGCTGAGCTCTTCGCGGGTATCGACAGGGCGAAGGCTTTGGACGTTGTGCTGCAAGATTATCAGCTTTTTACACTCCACTGTGAAAGCTTGTGTTGGTTCTCGTGGTTTCTCCTTGGAGCGGTTGCCCCTCGATGATTGATTGGATGTCTTGTCCGATGTCGACGCGTAGTTGGTCCCTGTCCAACTCTGACTCCGCGTGTTGTACCCTTAAGCCGATCCTTTGTTGCAGGTCTCTCAGTGCTCCTACCCAGCGTTTGTGTCGCACCTCTGCGAAGAATTGTTGCCGCAGCCACGTGATGAAGCGTTCAAAGTCCGTTGCCTTGAAGGGGTTCTCCTGGCATATGGGACAGGTTGAAGCGAGTTTCCTTAGCACCCCACGCTCACCTTCCTCGTTGGGTGTGGTGGGTTCCTGCCTCTCCCGACTCATGTCTCGGGAGCGAGAAGACTGTCTTCTCTGGGGCCTAGGTCCTCTTCCGAGCCTTGGGAAATCACCTTCATTTCCTTCGTCTCCCAGCTGGTCCAGGAGATTGAATCGATTTTGCAGCTTCGGGAAGTGGGTTTCTGCCTGGGTGAAAGTGATCTGCCTCTCCCTCATAGTTTCTCGAATGTTCACGTGTCTTTTCCTTTCTAGGCACTCGATATCGCTTGCTCCATATCTGAGTTAGCAGTTTGGGCATTTAGCGTCCATGTTGCAGTCTGCCGTTGAGTGCGTGCCTCCACAGTTGGCGCATCTTGCACGAGAGGTGCAGAACTTGGCTCCATGTCCGAATCTCCAGCAGTTCCTGCACTGGCGGATGCGAAAAATGTACAATTCGGGCCTGAAGTTACAACCGAAGATCTTTACCCATTTTGGCACTTGCGCACCCTCAACTGTTACCTTGATGTTCGTTGTGTCCAGAAGCTCTCCATTCCTGCTCCGTCGCTTGATGCGTTGAACTTTGGTCGCTCGGTGTTCTGCTTCTATGTTCTGAAACATCTCTTCCTCATTGAAGCTGGTGGGGACTCCCCTGATGAAGGTGATGGTATGATCCCTGCTCTTGGGTTCGTACAGTCTCAAGTTGGCATCTGCCAGCTTTAACTGTCTCAGCTGGGTTTCGAACTCGGTGTCAACCTTGAACCTGAATTTCCCTAGCTTGGAGATTTCAGAGAAATCGTGGAACCCTTTGTCCCTTAGGTATTTTCCAAGGAGGGTAGGATGACTTGGGAAGTCTTTTCCAATGTCGATCATCTCGAGGACTACGGTTTTGCGTTGGGCTTCCTCGTTGTGTGCCCCGTCTTGCGTTTGGTCCTTTTTTTTCGTCTGTCTGGTGACCCGTCCAGCCCCGGTCTTCCTGCTCTATCAGCAATACGCTTGATCCTTGCTGCGGCCTCCGCACTTGATCCTGCCATGGTAGGTCCGGAGAGAGCTTGCTATGTCGATAGGTTTCACTTCCTGATTCAACGGCTTGCGTATTTCCGTCTTCCCGAATTTCCCCGGAAAATTCCCGTATCGGGCAGTCGATAGCCTACACCAACTATAATTTCTCTTCTGTTATTATTTACAACCCTGCACCCTCGAGCCGACGAGTTGAGGTTAGGTTTGAAATTCCCTTGGTTCTCCTCAGACGATTTTTGCCTTCCTTCCGGTATCCCCCTTCTTCACCGACTTCAAGAAAATTGACGGGAAAATTGATCCGATTCGGGTACGATTACTAGCTGGAAATCGCACTTGTAACCTGATACGCAGCAGGCTTATAAATCGAACACCACGGGACACTTCCAGCAAACACAAATGGCTGCCATAGATTTTTCCCGAAATCGATTTCACTTTTTCCTATTTTCTGTTGATCCAAAATGCACTTTGCTATTCAATTTTCACATACAGCGCACGGCGGTGCGGGTAACCGAATGACACTGATTTTGCAAGGAATCACTCGATGTTTCACGGTACTTTTCACGATTTTTCGATATTGATTATTTTTCTCCGCGTCGTTTTGAAATAAACCTCGGCTTCCCTTTTCAAATTGACCGGTTTGCTTTGTGCGTGTAGTGAATCAAGTAAAATTACTGATTCACAGAAATCATGGCATAGACGAGTGCACGGATGGATTTGAGTTCACTCACTCGACAAAAAGTGCACTCGTCTATGCATCAACATTTCACAAATAAGAAGAAGCAACATCCGCTTTCAAACATAAGCACAACACGAAACAAATCACAAGCGGATAATAACTGTCATTCTTCGAAGCCTCGGTAGAAGACGGATCGAACTGCTTGATGCATACGATCCGATCCGCTGGTTTATCAATTGTATCACTCAGGCATACTGGAAATAAGTGGGGAGACGGATAATCCTCTTGTGCTAATGCGCTGAAATGCTGTTTTCATTTACTTTTCTATTCAAATAGCTTCAGGTTTCTTCAATTTATATTGCGAGCTTCCATCTGACTAGATGTTTTAAATGTTGTCTTGAATGTGTTATGTGTTGTCATGCGAACATGGTCTCCAACTCGGTTCAGTTTTCGAAAATCCCAAAAGCAGCTGTCAGTGACGATTGTCAATTACATGTCGTCCTTTAGGATATCATATGTTAACCCTTACAGTTCAGTGTTCACTCGGCTGTCGACAAAAGCAGGCCACTCTCGATGTGTGCTACGCGATCGTCTGTTTACTCGGCAGCAACCATTGTGTGGTCCTCCTCATTGTTCTTCACCAGCAGTTCTTTCGGTCGATGCGTCGTCGACTTTGGAAAGCAACCGTTTTGTGATGAGTGTGTGAGTGCTGACCACGTTTTGCGTCCATTGCTGCAATGGACGCGCTCTGACCCTCGTTGGCGTACAACAATTTGCCATACAATGAAACTACTGGAAGCGGCTCCAGTTCTGATGGAGGAGGCTTTTTGGATAGCGGAAGATAAAGTGTTTATTGTGTGGTACCTTTTGACTATAGCTTTAAGATGTATTGTATAGTGACCATGAATCCTCGGCTCTGTTAAGTTAATTCGGTTGAGCTTTATCAAATAAATTAAAATACAACCCTTACAGTTGGTTTTGCAGAGCTGCATTTCAAACACCATCGACCATTGCGTCAAAAGGAAGATTTGGGAGTTTGGACATATATAGAGCTATTTCTGCATATTGACGGTATATGAGCAAATCGGCAACCATTTCGTAACGTTACATATATTACATACATACGTCAATGGGGCCTATTGAAGCCTGTTGATGGAATCGATTAAATTAACAAATCTCGTGTCTCCAATAACCCCCAAATTTATTTGCCAATATTTCGCCCTTACAAACGGACAACAAGCCACAAGAGTGCAATGTGGACGGCAGCGGACCGGAAACGGAAAGCTTGACAGTTGTCACAAATGACATCAAGAAGCCTAACCGATGTCGATTTGGTTCTAACTAGTTTTCAATCCGACAAGTAGGCTTACTCAGATCGGGCTTTTCCGCTGCCGCTGCCGTTCCGCTTCCGCTGTCATTGCGCTTGGGCCTTAAGAGAGTTATTAATTTTATCCCACTAGACTCCACATCTGACCCACTGTGCCCAGCACGGATATGAACTATCGCATAGTGAAGAGTCGCCTACATGGCAACATCGGAGCATGTAATGTTTTCCTTCCATTCTTTTCTTGCACGCTTGGGTTTGGGTCGCATGTTGGGTTTAATGAATTCGCACACACACGCACACTCCAGATTCATCCCATGGAACGAACAACCACCGAGAAGGTTGGATGCTAATCTTAATATCCTGCACCGTTCGAAAAATTCATGTAAATTTCAGCGAGATATAGCGCACATAAAATTAACGCTAGATTTGGCATAAATTTACGCGATATTTCTTGTAAAATTAAGCGCAATATCGCATAAATTAGCAATATTGTATGCAAGCTTGTAAACGATTTCGCTGTTTATGCCAAGTATAGCTCAAAATTAAACGAATGGACATTTTACGCGATAGTTAAAATTCAGAATTTTTTTCTGTGTGGTCTCTCGGTTACTAGCCTATTAGAGGATAACGAAGCCCCCTTAACTTCAACTGTTTCCATAGTATTCAGATTACCATCTCCCATCCAACTCACGCCACCGTTCAATTAACAACCAGAGATAATGCCGTAATCGTGTTGTGGCTGCTGCATTACAGACAGGTCCGTACCTCAATCCACAAAAACATGTCACACCGTAACTGTAGGTACAGATGAGTTGCATCATCCACACGATGGCTGGCATGAACCGTCTCAAGGATTGAGCGTGTACGTGATTGGCATATTAAATCGATTCATCGCGAACCCGATGGCGAGCAGTAACATTAAAATGATCCATTTCAATTTTCTCCCATTACAGCTTCGTCGGTGGCGGTATCGGCTTGGACGTTAGTTATAATCTCTGTGGAGCGTTACTATGCCATATGTCATCCGTTGCGGTCCCGGCGGTGGCAGACGCTCAGTCACGCCTATCGGCTGATCGCACTCATCTGGTGCGGTAGTCTGTTCTTCATGCTACCGATTGCTGTGCTCAGCAAACTGATTCCCACCAATCAAGGTAGGCTTTGAGCAGCAAGAATTTATCATTAATGGACAGTTTGTTTTGTTTTGCTTAGGTCACCACAAGTGTCGGGAGCTGTGGTTCGACCGGGGCTACGAGCGGGCCTACAATCTACTGCTGGATGTAATCCTATTGGTGCTACCGTTACTAATCCTAGCCGTCACCTATTCGCTCATAACGCGAACCCTCTGCCGAGGGATGAACGATTTCCGACGGTACTCGAAAGCCCTGTCGACACGCACTGGTGATGGGAAGCAAGCGGCAGCAGCGGGACGGGAGCGCTCGCTCCGGCCGCTTAACAACAACAATCGAGGTAGGTCATCCTTCGCCCGTTGTGGGGTTTTGTCGTTGCGATGCTTTTAACTTGGCAGATCGCTAATTGGGCGACGTCCCAAATGGAAAACAGTTATTGCGGGGATTTTAAAAAGTTTTGAGGGCTTCGCGGAAATTACGTGCACTAGTCTATCTCCGCAAAGAAGAAATGGCTCGTACACACTAAGTTTATATCACCGAGGTCGGCAAAATAAATTGTCGAGAATTCAACAGCCGAGATTTCGTTCAAAATGTTGGTGAAAGTTTGGAATACCGAGCACTTGGCAATTATTATTTAGATTCACCTGTCAAATTTAATTGAGTACACCAGTACTTATTGACCGAGAGTTCAGATTTTCGGTCAACCATTCATGGAAAAGGGTCTACTATTTGCCGAGGGTTTAGTATTAGAGTTTAATGGAATGAATCTAGAAAAAAAAATCGTTGTTTTCGTGGTCCCTGTGTGTTCGGTTCCTTTCATCAACGCATGTATGGAGTGTGCTTTTTATGCGTTTGCTGCCCCCTCACACGCAAAATCAGTGATGTCCCATTTTTAAATAACTCGATTAATAACCAGTCAATAATTTTTTGTTTGCTGTGCTGTCATTTTTTCCACCAATTAGTGTGCAGAACACGTTTGAACGATGGTCGATAATCCTCTGAAGAATTGAATGCTTACTTGGCATGATATAACCGATTAAAATATTCGACTAAAAATTGAACACCACTAGGTGAATGTGAAACGTCATTTTGAAATCCACCGTCAATGTCAAATATAAGAACCGTTCCAAGAGGTGTTCAACTCTGCACATCTCAATCTGTGCCGAGTACATTATCTGTGCCGAAAGCTGGGTCAAGCGTTGAGCCGAACGTGGCGAAGTATGACAATCAAGGTATCAGTCTCAGTATCCCATGAGTTTGGCATCCCTTCAGTTATGACTTTTGAGATTTATTTGTTTACAATATCAAGTTCTTGCACGGAAAAATTTTGGAACATAAATTTCTAGATAAATTTCCATATTAAACGAACTCGTTGCCAGTCATCCGCTTCAAGGAAGTGATACTCGAAATACAGCCCCTCCGTGAGAAAGAGAAGTGTGACTGATGACAGAAGCTGGAACAGGAGAAGACAGCTATGAACCTTTAGTCGTTCTGGCAGACGTTTGTCAAAACCAAGTACCCAACCGGCAAGTGGAAAATGCATCGCCGGCGAGTGGAAGATTCTATGCATTGTCAAGTGCCGGCGATAGTAGAAGCAACAATAGACTGCATTAGCTTCCCAGTGTCAGAAATCGTGGTTGGGTACTGAATTCGTCTGAACTGGCCTCACCTTTTTTATGATGGAGTAAAACAACTTCGTCCATGGTCTAGACCTTTTGAACAGGAGACCCAGGAAACCGCTGAGATTAGCCAACGAATAATTTCCAACTGCATCCAAATGTCGGTCCAGGTTCTTGATAATGGTTTCAGTCGTTTGATGACTACCATCTCCTTGTATCTGCTTGCTGTTCCTTCATATTTTATTTCTTTTCTTGGTCATGCCGGAATCGCATATTAGTCTTTAACTTTTACGTAGGCTACTTTTACAATTCTGTTAGCAGCATCTTTCTGTTTAATTGCTGTTTCCATCAGTGAAACGAACACCCAGTCGCGAATGAGCGTATAGAGACTGCGAACCGGTAATACGGGATCTACTGACTCCACCAGCTTCCACAGTTCGTACATGAGCCCTGCAATCGGAGCTGAATTCTACAATACTCTTTACCCATACAATTGGCTCTCGGTTCGGATTATATGGCCATCTGGGGGTAACACGTATTCAAGCCTATTTTACGTGGCATGGTGACTCTGACTAATTCGTTTAAACTCCCGCAATAACAAAAATTCTTTCAAAACTATGAACATCTCTCAAAAGCCGTGAGGACTTTCTGTAAAATTTCATTCGGCAAAAGGCATAAGGACATGAAGTGTCTCGTCAATTACACAATATCTTAATATTAAAAAAATAGCAATGGCACTGGCAACAAAATTTCCCTTTTCCCCTTACTTTGAAGTAAACGAAGTAGTAAACCTTAGCAACGATTGGTAAAATTTTATCGCAAAACAGTGATGCCGTTTTATGTTATATTTTGTGACAAACTTGTCATCGTGTGCCATGACATGCCGATCAGTGTGCCATGATGTATTTAGGCACAGTGTGCACAGTTGATTACCCCTTGGACCGTTCATAAATTATGAGACAATTTGAAAGGGACCGGGGCGAATCAAAAATGACGTCCCCACGGTAAATGTAAAAAAAAAACAGGAGTGCTATTAGCGTATGTCTAGCATACCTGAGTAAATTGGTGTCTACCCATCGTAACGGAGGATACAAACGCAACCAGGTAAATTCATATTCGTAGTCAGGGGCCAAGTGGGCGTCGAATCTTTCCACACTCAGAGTATCCTTGTTACGTTTGATTACAAGACTCACCGTTGACTTTGGGAATTTTAACACTTTTGCTATTTTTTAGGCAGACCACGAAGGGTTCTCTAGATATTTGTGGACAATTAATTTTCTTTTCTCAAGTTCCATGATTCGTAATTTCAGGATGCATTGATCAATCGAGAAAAAAATTTCACCAATTTCTTTTTATTTAACCACCATCTTTGACATTTTAGCCATACAGACTGTTTAAAGTGACTTAATCCTATTCTTAAAAACTGGTCTACTTATATTAAAATCAAAAACATCACACGCATTATTAAACAGTCTGCAACATATATCGAGAGGATTGTTATAACCGTAAGCAGTACGATGTCCGGGAGTCCACAGAAAGTAATAGTTGCGGAGACGGCGAGCTGGAGTGTGGAAATTGATGTTCCCGAGCAAACAACTGCAGTCAATATGATTACTAATCATGTCAAACAGTGTTGTGAAAATCACTTGTATCACAAATATCACGCCAACGAAATATCAGCACTGATTAACACTCATTTGATATTTTTAAATTCGCCACTCATTTGAGTTATGGACAACCCAAGCAATGCAACATTACAACTCAGTACTCACTTATTCTTGTTTTTTCACTCTCAAAGGATTATACCCATGCACTTTCCATTCAATGAAACGAAATATACAAACGTTTCCTTTTGAGTACAACTCCTTTTGAGTGGTATCACTGTGTGCTAGCCGAGGTGCCAGCTACCACTCAGCTAATAGTACATTAGTACATTCTAAATGTGATTTGATGAATTGATGTTCCAAAAGCGAGGATAACAATAACAAACCAACAAAGTGGTGTTGAGTACTTGGCACTGATGAAGTCTGCAAGTAGTAGACGAAATACGCGTATCTGTCAAAAGATAAGCAATTATAACGGAATTTAAAGGAAATAAACCAACCCACTCAAAGCTCTTCATAAAGGGATTCCGTTAAGAGGTTCGATAAATTTAAAGGAATAACAAACCAATATTTTTGGCTGGAGCGAAAGTGAGGATAACAAATTTCTCACTTGAAAATGGGATTACTCAAGAGTGCGTGTTATAAACGTCAGAAAGGCCAATGAAAAACAAACTGTCTAAACGACCAGCAGCAAGCAGCTATAGAGATTGCTAAAGTGCTATCTGAATTGTGAGTATTGTGAGAGAACTTTAAAATTTGTTTGTGAAGTGTATGGGAAACGTAGGAACGTAAACCAAAATTATTAATGATTTAAAATTCAGCATTTAGCAAGTCACCTCGCGCAAGTTCGCTGTAAAGCCCTCTTACAAAAGTATAGACGACTATCACCACAAAACTGAAAAAAAAAACTGTTCCAATCGAGCAAAGCGGTGCATTTTGACGGTTCGATTGAAACAACTTTTGATAGATGGCCATACTTTTACTGTAGGACTTTAGTTCACTGATCTCATACGCCTGATAGGTTTTTATGGAGCACTTTGTCAAACGTAAATGGTTAATGAGTTTTTTGCACAGAAATCATATCAATTTCTGGCCTTCGAAAATATTGTTTTGCATATTTTGTACAATTGATGTCTCAGGTAAGGACAAAATACATCAATAAATTATGGTTTTGATAAACACATGAGCTTTCTTTAAAGTTCACTCGAAAATCTAAATCATTACATTAGATTCGTTCAAATCTTTCACAGAGGTCAGGGACGTCAAAACAAATCGAAAAAGTAGTGGGGAACAAGGTGTTGTAAACTGCCATACAAATTTGAGCAGATGGAAAATTACTAAATCCCTTTTGAAAATCATGGACCTACAGTGCCTACGGTAGATGCCTAACTGTCCTATATTATATTGAACATACGACAGTTAAGGCATCGATCTGGTTTGCATAAAATTTCATGACAATGGGCCTTATGACGGCTGTCACTTCACGGTGAAAAGAAGTACGGGGTTGGAAAGGTGATTTTCCATTCCAATCGCTTGTAGATGTCCACACAGATTTTGGACAACTAGACCAAACTGGATTAGAGTTTCCAGCTTGTCCGCTCTTGGTGCGGGAGTGGCACGAACTTTGGTCACCATGTGATGCACGATTTGCTCGGGCCTCCCATACAAGGTCTGTAGAGTTGACATAATTTGAGGTACTGTCGATGGGTGTAGCAGAAAGCTGCTCACCGACTCCTTTGCGATTCCTTTCAACGAACGTTGTAGACGCAGCAAATTTTCCGAGTCTGAATAGCCACATGCATCTGTTGAATGCTGGTAACTACTTACAAAGAGAGGCCATTCAGTAGGATCCCCAGAAAACGTGGGGAGTTCCTTTGGGATCACCTGTCTAGCTGCTAGCTGTTGACGCGTAGGTCCGTATTGGGCATTCAAGAAATTAGTCCTACCGAAATTGTCTAACCCTGGAGGGTGGTATTGATTAAACTGCGTTACATTTGTCGGCCCTATCTCTCGATTTATGGTAAAAGTGCAAGGTGTTCCTGCTCTACCCACCGTACTAATGACACTAGGACAAGGTGTCTTTCTATCCGCATACGCTACAGAATCTGCTTCGAAACTATGAAATCGAGAATCACTCACCATGGACGCCAGAGATGTACCACTTCCCGTGGACTCCGGTAATGCTGCATGTGATGGATGTCCGATTTTCTCTCGTAGAAGAACCGATTCCAGTTGCTGAGCAAGCTGCTGCTCTCGTTCTTTAAGTCGCCGTAGCTCTTCTTCTCGCGCAGCATGTTCTTGCCGCCGTTTGGTTTCCAGTGCCTGATATCGTTTCTGACTATCCTCTAGTTGTCTTTTCAATGCGTTTTCCACTTCCTGTAGCTGTTGCCGCTCTCCTGCACGCTGCTCCTCCAGTCGATTCAGTCGGTTTACAAGTTCTATTTCTCGCCTTCGCCTCAATTCGTTCTCCTGCTGGTGTTCTAGTTCCATGTGACGTTGCCGTTTCAAGTTCGATTCAATTTCGTGTAATCGATTCTCTAATTCCTTCTTCTCGTCGTATGCTTGCTGCAGTTCCGCTTTGCCACGCTTTTGAAGTTCATTTGTCTCACGCGTCCATTTTTCAAAGGGGGTAGGGCGAGAGATAGGGTTCGTTAACTTTCCGATGATCTTCGGGTTCGCACCGGTATTCGGTCGCTTCAAGGTCAGTTCAATACTTGGAAAGTTTGGTCCTGACTCCTCCAAAAGCCGCGTGTATGGTTGAATGTTTACCAAATGCAACTTGGGGAAATCTTCCTCCGGACTGTCACCAATAGTGATGCTCTCGATCGTACGGGGTACAGATGCCCGTTGCTCGTCAGCAGCTGGTTGCTGATTTCCAGCAGTGATTGCGCTACCACCCAACGGAGTAGACGAACCAACAGGGATAGACTCTTGTGGTTCGACCGACTCTGGAATGTTTTCTTTCTCACTACCACCGACGGCGCCGGTGCGGGAAATATGCTGCTCAACCCATTTCTCCACCTTTAGTATACTACTACTGCTACTACGACGACTCACAAAGCTCTCAATGTCATCGTCCTGCTGGCGGAGCAACTCGTGCTTTCTAGCTATGAACTGCTTTTCCCGCTCCAGTTTCTCCTTAGCGGCTTTCTCAATCAGCAACTTCTCCTGCTGTATCCGCTCCTGTTCTACCTGCTCTTCAGCTCGCCTCTCGTCCTCCAGACGTTGGATTTCACGGTCAATGTGGGACCTACGACCGCTTGTAGCACTCGATCGACCAGATCCCGACCTAGCTGATCGCTCTGGTACTCTCTTCGACGAACACTCCGCACAGCAAAACTCCTTCGAATAGACAGTATTTGTATCCACCCTCGCGCACGAAAAATGGTTCCAACGCTTGCATCCTCCGCATTGGACCATATACAATTCTGCATTGTTGGGTTGATCACATACAGCACATTCGAGATCCTGTCCGTGCTCAAAATCGATCATCGAAGGCATAAATCCATCCTCTGTCAGGTCCAGATCGTGTTCAGAAGTACTAAGATGTTCTTCACCGAAGAGATTAGACTGTTTGGCAGCCTTGGTCTTGGAACGAGTCTGACGAACAAACGATTTCTCCATTCTCGGTACTCTATAAATCTTTGAGATTATGTTGAAATTATTTCGGAGGTCTTCAAAGCAACTCGTCTGTGTTCCCGATCAAGATAGCTCAAAGCTGCAAATTTATTTAAGGTTAGGATAGCAACAATATAAATTCATGTTTTCTTACATTTAGTCTCCTTACACAATGTACCAATGAATGTAACAAATAAAGAATTCAATTTTCTCTTATCCAGTCTAGAAACAAGAATATAAATCAAATAAAAGGTACTAATTTACTGTAGTATAATATTTACGTAATAATATATAATGTTGCACTCGATTCACCAGATAATGACAAAGCAATTCTACATTTGACATTTGTATCGTCTGACAATTCGACTGACATTTATCCTATATATTCTTCTCGTTCACGAATACTCTCACGCTGAAACAAGGGACCGCCCGGTGACTGCATTAACCACAACAGTGACAGTTGTCACTCACGGTGAAGTGATTGGCGTATAAATCAAATGGGAATCACTTCACCGTCAGTGATAAGTTGTCACTTCACCGTGAAGTGACATCGGTAATAAGGGCCCTTGTAATTTGATACCCTAAAAGCATTACCACATTGGCCCTTATTACCAATGCCCCTTCACTTCCTTTTTACCGTGAAGTGACAGCCGTAATAAGGCCCTTGTACTTTTAAGGATTCCTATTTAAATCAATCAAATAATAGTTTTGAGTCCATCTCTTTTAATTTATTTTTTATAATTTTTTAAAACAAGAGGTTCAAAAGAAATAAGGAGAAGCCGATAGAAGTACTATTTCATTGATTGATAAAAGAGAGGGTATCGTAAACCACTCTAAAAAGCAATGAATTAGTTCTTCATTTTTTATTTAAAATTCGCTGCATAACTTTTCTGTAATTAACGGTAATCAATAATCGCCCAGTGTTCTAAGAAATCTTAAATACAAAATGCAATGAAATAACAAAGAGAAATAGAAGTAATCTGTTTTAAAACTAACTGAGTTCCTCGAAATCATTTTGGAGCATTAGAAAGAATGATTTTTGTTCTCGCAGAGACTTCAACATAAGGAAGATTGCGTTCCATCTTGTCGCTCCAGGAATAGGTGGAAGATGTGCTTTGTGAGCTTAGAAAACTTCTCTATTTTTACCCAGTCGAGTTTTCTTACATTGTTTTTTTTTTTTACGTTCTCGATTTGGCGGCAATGCTTTTTAAGGACATCAAATACAGTCAACTGGCAGGTGTGAGCAGCGCAGTAACGGACCAAATTTCCTCGTCGTCTTCATCAAAATCACTTTGGG